TATAATATTATTGGGTGTGGCATTGTGACCGTTGGTTTGTTTGATTTTTTTTCTGCAATAACATTTTGATGCTCTCATAATTCAATACCCATATATCTGAAATGTTCGACTCCACCCAAACGCTGCTCTGCAGAAGTTAAACACTTTTAGGCGTTTTAGGCATTTTGTCGGGCTTTCTGTGTTGTCAGATTTGTTTTTTTTTTGGGGGGGGGGGGGGCAAGACTTGCCTCTGCTTGAAGAGTACCCAACACTAGCCTTTACCAGGCTTCAGAGGCTTGGAAATAATAGAAATTGGTCAGATAGACTGATAACATGCCGAGGAGTTGGTCCGCTAAAGGAGTACACTTCAGAGCGGCAAATAAACTATACCCCTTTAGCGCACTAATTCCCCTGGCATGTTATCTGTCTTTCTACTCTTTCTAGCCTCTTCTGAGGCCCGGTAGAGGCTATCCAACCCTTTTCTCTGCCCAGACTTCCCGACCCTGCCCTGTTGCCCTGTATTGTGGCGCATGTACAAAGTAATCAGCACCCCACAAACAGACATATAATGGCTCATCTCTCCCGCCGCTGATTGCTCTCTTGTCCGGTCCTTATCCCGTTACTGATTGTTGTTCAGGTGATTACCTCGGCACCTGGCGGTGGGGAAGGGGAGGGGTATCCAGAACCGTGCCCATGTAGTCCTATGAATGGGTTAATGTTTGAATCAGACAGGGATAGTACTAGTCTTCACTTATCCAAGAACGTGTATTTTCCCTAGGCACAGTTCTGGATCTGTATCTGTATAGCCGGTATAATCGCCCTTCGGCGTAACACACCAGCTTAATTAATACGCATGGACTATCGTATCCAGAAACGTGCATGATCGAGCTTTGTTCTGGCTAATTAAACCACGGTTCTGGATACAACAGGGATGATGCTACGAAGAAAACAAAATGCCACTGTCAAAGAAAAAAGCGATTACACATTTCCAGATTCAGAGGAGTCTAAGAATTCAACTTAACAATAAATATATAGTCTGCCTCCAACCACCACAAGCCTCAATTTTACAACTTATTTACTTCCTGATCATATATTTTGCCCATCTTTCATCCCTCATATAAATGTCAGAAACAACTGCGAGACTAAATCACCTAAATGGGCCTTCCCAAATCGGAGGTACAGATGTTCGATGTCAGTAAACCAGATGTTTATTCTCACAGATAAAAAGTATTTGAGTTGCTAGGTGACGTCACAGAGTGTTATCGTCCCACGCAGTGGGCCCTCCCGGACCAGAGTTTATATTGATTATAGCAATAGTTTTACACAATTAGATTTCATAATGTACATTTTGAAGTAAATTTATATTCGGTTTCAATGTTATTTTATGTTTGTAACTTGCAATTAGCCTTCGGGCATGGATTTGCAATAAACTTCTCATTGATTGGAACATCAGGCCTGACCAGGAATGTTTATTTCAGCCGCTCCAGTTCCGGTAGTGCGGTGTATTACCTGGCAACGTTTAGATACCGGGGGTTATCTCAACGATCGATCTAGTGATTTCAGGCCTTTGTATCTCATAGCCCTGTTGAAAGCTATTTCGTACCAAACCAGCTGGCAATGAATGAACTTTACTGACACGAAATAGTATGAGACTAAGACATGTAAGATACACAATTATGAAATCGATTGTTGAGCATTGGATTGTTGACAGTCGTACAAGGTACAATATATGACAACAACTATTAAATAACAATACACTACTACAGAACTAATCAATAACCTACAGTATGCGCAATATTATTAGCAACAGTATATGGATTACGTCAAGGATATCATCATATGTGCATGTAGGTAAGACAGGCCTTACAGTTCTTCCACTGATATCTTAGGACTACGTTACGAACAGGTTTGTCGGAATTTGTATCAAAATAGATTTGCAAGGCCACGTAAACGCTTCTCTATACTATAAGCACGATAAATAATGTATGTTAGAAACAACGCTGTTAGTGTTAGAATACCACCTTGCCTACCAAGTGGCGTATGTGGTGTTTGTTGGATAATATTGTCACAATTAAAGCAAGATTAGGTGCATGGATCCGGGTAAGCGTTTCTCTAGAGTACGCACACACGTAAGTCTGATAAATGTGCGTCTTAATTAAAGGCAAGCTTACTAAGATACCGCATTTACCTACCAACCTATAGCAAGACCCTCTGAAGTATAAGCCCTGTGCTTTAATGCTACATGTACCAAATAAACCTAGAGCTGCTGGGTCCGCTTCTCCTGACTTAACGACCTGAATGATGTGTGCTTTTATTTATAAACAAGCTTTTCAAAATGCCATATCTGCCCACCAACCCTTGGCCCCACACTGAGGAATACTTCCTCCTAACCGCTGTCGCCAAGTGTTTGTCATCCCCACACGGACGTGTACATGATGTCACGTACATAATTTCTACTCATGATGAGAGGCTACGACTACTGAGGGTCAAAATTTTTACGGATAACTCAACGAATTTCAAGCCTATATGAAGGACTATTTTTTCATGTGTATATGCGTGTTTTGTTATGTTGTCTTTCCAATCGTATTTAAACATTGAACACCATATTGATTCATAATCCAATTAAAATCAAGGGTCGCTACTATGCACAAGAAAACTAATACTCAAGCAACTGGATAGATTTCCAAAACTGAACATTATGATTTTGTCATGACAGTTTTCAAAATCTATCCAGTTGCGTAATTGACAGTTTTCTTGTGTATTTTATTACCTGGATGTCTAAACGTCATCGACGTAACTTACGTATGGATTGTTACTATTTGGCCCCCCGAAAAATCTTATTGGAGATAACTATATACCTTACCTCGTACTCAGCTACGATCCTGTCCCGGAGTTTCTCCATGTATTTCTGGTCGTTTATTCTCACCACGTCGGTGCCCATCAGCCTCCGCAGCCGCTGCTTGCACTGTTCCCCCGGCATCGTCTCGTCGTCCTGTTCCCCAAACGATCAACGTCGTCTAATGTCACCAAAAACTTTGACTTTTCTGCCCCGCAGAACCAATACAAACCGAAGTCCGTCCTGCTATCGCTTGTTAAAATGAACTCCGCGCCCCGCTTGTTTACTGTCGTCTCCAAGTTCTGGTTCGAACGTTCGATGGTAACCAGGAAGCTCTAAAGGCGCGTTCTAATTTTATGACGGAATTCTTCGAAATGATTTCAACTGGCGACGACGCCAAACGTTTTGAATAGACCTCAGAAGTCGGCGGAAAGCTACTGAGCTTTAGTCCGTTGTGGCGCCACTGCCCAATCAGCCCGAAGTTCAGGGACTGTGGCGACAGTTTTTGTTTGTACGGCGACGTTCCAACCTTCTCTATCGCGACGCACCAGGTGTTCTGGAACGCGTCTTTTGAAAACCCTTGGTTTCGTGGAACGTTAGAAACGACGAACAAATCCAGGGGGAAACTCCCTCCGACAGTGTCAGACGATGAAGGAATGGGGTCCTTGTCTCTCTGAATGGAGCGCACGACCGCAAAATAAACGCCGTTAAACCCGTCTTAGCTGTACGTTTTTGTCCAGCGGTGGTTTGTAGACCACAGACCCATTCCCCTAGCCGGCTTCTTGCCTTGGTCGACCATGGAAGACTGCAGCAGGTGGTTTGTTCGAGCGCTGGGCCGTACAAGCTCCCGCCGGGCCTCCTCTCCCCTTGCCGACTACCTGTCACTTTGCACCGCCTGTCACTTTAACACACACGCGTCGTTTGTTTGACAACACTATACGTCACAAGACAGAGCCCGGGCCTTGTGATGTAATAGAAACCTTGCCTGTCTCCTGTTTGGTCATTGCGACGTCACAATGACACACTCAACTACCTAGTATGTAGTAAACGTTTAGGAAAGACTTCTCGAAGATTTGCATTTCCTCCTATTTAAACAGACGAAGTAGAATGACTCTTTTGCCAAGAGAAGACACTGTTGATCACCATTTCTTGATGTACGGAATGGACGCTTGCACTGCCATTGTCTCTCAGTAGGTGGAGCTGGGCACAGGTGGTTTTCACGATGTTCGCGGCAGCAATAAGGGAGGTGGCGAAATTGTTTTCGGTAAGGAAATTGTCTTAATGCAGTCATTCATTACTTGAGCAACTTTCACGACTGTCAAGATGACAATGGTACTTGTTATTCCTTTTCCGACATGTCAAAGAAAAATCGTGCCTCCAAAAACTCCTAACGGAAAGCTTTCCAACTGAAGATGGTGAGACCACTTGTAGAGTGTGCCATGTTGGTCTCTCTGTATGGCGGATAACGATGACTGGCGACCACCGTTAAAACATCGACTTGCTAACGCTTAATAAAGAACCCAGACCCTAAATGACCCACCTCAGAGCGCGTCCCTTCTCATGTATCATGACTGCAGACAGCACATTTGATGTAGATGTAACGTTAGATGTAGATTCCTTCAGGCCAGGTAGGAATATTTTCCAGTTTGGGCCGCTCTTGACTTCAGCCGACAGTCATTTTACACACACTAAAGACTCATTTTACACACACTAAAGACTCATAATCTCTTCTGTGACAAAGGTGTTTTCAAAAGTGCCAACGTGAGACACCATTGTGAAGAGTTTTTGTATACTTTTCGCCAAGACGGTCGCTCCAGTTGAATGTCACCTCCTTGATATGCCTTTTCTGTCCTAGAATCTTACAGACATTCACGGAAAGTAACACAATATGCACATCTATGACCCCAACTATATTCTATTTCACATTTTGGACAGTTCACGTGCTCTGATTTCGGTGAACTTGGACGTAGAACATCAGCGGGTGTCACCTTCAACTTCGTGTACGCTTCGTTACCATAGCAACGACTGAAGGTACAGCGGCAGCTGCTGTTTGTGACATGAAAGAGGGGTGTCGTCACAAATATTTCGATTCGTGACGTTTATCTTGTCATCATTTCACAGAAATATGAGCTTTTGACGCCATGTTGTACTGTTAGAATGGGTCGCGACGCTTGAAACAGGAAGCTCACCCCTACATGAGAGTCTGACATGGGACATTCCCAAACAATCATGGCGGCCGGGGGTTCCGGATTTTGGAGTAAACAACAGGGAAAGTCGTAGAAAACCCTCTCTGGTCCGACTTGAGCGGGAAATGTTGCGATAGAGAGGATCTAGAGGTGTCGAAGGTTGGTTTTTGCGGGCTGTCAGGGCGCCATGGACCGCAGGCAGGCGGCTACGCCGGCGCACAGGGCCCGACTGCGGCGGCTGGTCGGCTCGGACGAAGTGCGCGTGACCGACCGGGAGTTCATGTCCAACTTACAGCGGAAACTCGAGCAGGAACGGGAGGTACGGAGGCTCCTGGTGTTCTCAAAACCCTCTAGCATTCATCTACGCCAATTTCTAAGCTTTTAGCCATCCGCATTTGCTTTATTTTGACTAAAGAATGTAGCAGAAGTGGCCTGCCCCTCCCCTTTAAAATATGCTGTTGCTCTGGCAGCTATTTGTCTCAAGCACCTGTTATATTGAGTGGCACGCTTTGCAACACCGAAGTTGCTGAAACAACAAGTTGTGCAACCCCACAAACATTCCATATATGTTTCCTAATACTATTTGATGTTATAGATGATATTCTGAAGGTATGATAACGTTTTTATTGGGTGTTATAGATGAAAAGTTGTATATGCTGCATCATGGTCACATGACGCAACCCCGATGGCGGATGCTAGTAACCTTGGTAACCACTTTAAAAGGCTTGACACGCACACTAACAACCTGCTACTGGATTAACAGTGGATTAGGTGCCTGGTACAGGACAGGCAACTAACATGTCTCGTTTCTGGCAACTTATAATGTCTGGGTTAGCCACAACTATTATATAACCTACAGCCTACCCTATTGTAGAGATATGGATAATGTTACATATTCGCTTGCAAAGCTTCCATGCCAACATGGAAACAGAGCAAGCAGGAGAGGATTTCTGAGCAAAATGAGCTCGCAGGACCTAAATAACTGGAAACTGAGGTTTCAACGTTTGTCTTCATATTGAGAAAAGTCCAAAACTTGTTCAGAAAGGGACAAGTAGTGCTTGGACAACAAACAGATCAAATTACAGAGTAAACACAGGCACACCTGCTATTATTTCTGTCTAAATTTAAGAAAATACACCAAAAGTGATCATTCTTATTGTACGAAAAAAGACTTTAAACAACAAATACATTTGTTGGATGTAAAACGTGCATGCAGACATAATTTTGCAATGCCGAAATGTTAATTTGTATATTCTAGTTCATTAGGGAAAGTATCTAGTAGTTTGGCTCCCAGCCAAAACACACACCCCCTACTTAGCGGCTGCCCAGGTGTTAGCTCACCTGTGGGGAAAATGGATACAATTGCAAGTACCTGTCCTGGTTATGATGTGGGGAAAGTTAAATGCTGCAGTGTTTACCAACAGATTTAAAATTTGTTAGTCAAGAAACATAACTTCATAAGTCATTCAATTCAATCTCCCTGTCTTTGGTATACATAGCCTATGTACATAGGAAATCATGATAAAAAGGAAGTTTTCTATGGAATTTTAGCCTGAGGGAGACCTAGCCTTCTGTTGAAGTAATTTTTGTAAGCCTAGCTTCCTGCCCCCCCAAGCTGTCATTATCTGGTTTTCTCTTGCTGTTAATTGAGTTGTAATTAGCAAGAACTAAAGATAGCAACCCTTTCTGCCAGATAATTCTATTTCTTACAGGTACAGTTTTAGTTATATCTAAACATATGTCATTCCTTATTAATTACTATTGGCTCTGTATGTTTTGTTTTTTTTTACATCATGATGACTTGGCGTCAATTAGCTAATGCTGGTTGATAAAGAATTTTTGTCTGCATTGCAATTGCAATTTCTTTTATCTTTGTTTCTTGTTATTACTCATACTTGAACAAGGAACTGAGTAGTCGACATTTTAGGCCACAAATATTTATGTCCTTGGTTATAAGACATTCAAGTTTAAATTCAAGGTGAAAATATAAGAAGTAGACCTCATAAAAGATGACGGTAGGGAAGAAAGCTTGAATATGACTTTCAAGGCCTAAACCTCAGGTCCTGTGTTCTCATTATGTTTTCCAGTAAAGCATATTTTTTCCTAAATCAGAGAACCAAAACAAATTGGTGTGGTCTTGCAGTATTGTGCAACTGTAATGATGACAATCCCAGTAAAAATCTCTTTTTTTTTTCACACAGGTGAGGATGAGGAAAGAAGAACAGGCCCGTGCAAAGTTAGAACTGGAGCGACAAAGACGAGCGCGAAACTGGCACCCCCCTCCCCCGCCCCCTCCTCCTGCACGGGCTGTGTCTGAGGAGGGTGACACCAGACCAGCGCAGACCAGGCGGGCTAAAGTCAACCTGTCACTCGACACCGCTGCTATCACACCGCGGGAAAGACCATCAGACAACGGAGAGGGCGGTAACGCTGCTACGACCAACACGGGTACTAGTAGAACCCAGTACAGATGGGAGGAGGGAGGGGCCAGGCCGAAACGCCGGACGCCAAGCGTTCGGGAAATCGAGGAGCCATACTCCGCCCGTCCGCGCCGATCCTCCCAGTCGGAAAACCGGAACCCGGTGTCGGTCCGCAGGCCGGGCGCGGGAACAAGCCAGGAGTCGTCTGGGTCACCAAGAGTGATCAGCGGCACCTCGCCGAGAAGGAGTGTCGTTCTGAGGGAATCGACGGACGCGTCGGCACGAAGACCGCGTGTAGATTCGCAGGGGGACGCCAGGAGCGAGTCTGACAACAGGAGAGGTGGGAGTAACCATGACCAGCCGAGGGAGAGACTGTTAGACAGACCCCAGTCTCCCCACAGAACTGTCTTCTACAGGAGCGAGAACACGGCGCCAAGACGTACATCAAGGATGCTCGAGACAGACTCCTTATCGTCAAGACAGGCCCAGGCTTCTTTGAATACAGCCGTATCCAGAGCAAGAGGGGACAGTACTAGTGAGTCCCTCCCAAATGTAGGGAACAGTACATCTCCCAGAAGACTGGTGACACAAGGGTCTCTGTCTGCCCTGACTGAACGTGTGAATGCCGTGAACTCTGGAGTGGTGACGAGAAGAACTCCTGTCAAAGCCAGGGAAATAGCTAGAGACAATGCTGCAGCACCGATAGCGGAGGCAGGGGGAGCTGTTGCAACACAGGCCACACATGCGCCAACAATAGAAAGGTGACTGAACAGTCTAAAGTTTGCGCTCTAATCATTCTCACATCTCCTTTCTATCTTGCATGTTTGAAAAGAGATTCTTGCTATGTTACATTCATTGACTCTATTCTAATTTGACATTTTTTCTTCCTTTTCAGATCGAATCGTGGCGTCTCCACCAGCCCCATTGCTGCTACAGCGCCCGTGCCTTCCCAGCAGCCCTCTAGATCTCTCCTGGGTGCTTCTGCTGCCGTCCCCCCACGTCCCTCCTCCCCCCCTCCCAAACCCCCCTCCATCCACTCCCTCAGTAGCCATGGTAACAGTAGCCATGGTAACGATGACTCGGATGTTGAGGAGGACGGTCCGTCCTGCAGGATCTGTCAGATGATGGAGGAGACTGCAGACAACAAGCTGATAGAGCCGTGTGGCTGCGCTGGCAGTCTCAGGTCAGGCTGAGTCAAATTTTACCATCAGCCATCTAAGGCTATGCCATAGCTGATTTTAAATTTGACTTTTTAGCCATTTAGCTGCAGACAACATTTAACTGATTGAGCTTTATGGCTGTGCTGGCAGTCTGAGGTCAGGCTGAGTCAAATTGTACTTAGGCAACACCAATTTTATTTGTCGGTTCTCGAATTTAATGCTTAAGTGGAAAAATGTAGTGAAAACAAAGCCTGAGGTTAAGCCTTGGTTCACTTAGTTTTATGGAGTGAATAATACAGACATATTCAAGTTTTCCTCCATGTCTACTTTTCTGATATCCTCTTTCAGCAAAAAATGTCCAGAAACTAAGGGAGTAAATTGATGTGGCCTTAGTCTCTTTCCAATGCGCCTAATCTCTATTTCAAATAACTCTGATGTTGTATGACTGAGATATTTGCATAAAGTTTGTTCTCTATTGCATTGTTCATTGTTAAAACTTCATGTTGCAGGTATATCCACAAGGAATGTCTGAAACGTTGGATGGAGACTCGCCACAGACAGGGCCACAACGCTCGCATCTGTGAACTCTGCCACAAGGCTGTTACTATAGACGTGGGGGCGGACCTCAGGGGGCCGGATCCTCGACTTAGACTGGAGGTAAACTGTCTCATGCAAAGAATGTTTAGACCTTAGGTCAAGTAGTATAAGTTGATTCATCTATTGCCTTGTACGTAGGTCAATTTTGTTGTACCCACTTATCTGTCTGTATGTCTACATCTAGTTAATGACCTTTCAAAAGTCGCTGTACTTTTGTTGTGTCAATAAACTTCTTCTATGATATATACTGTGCTACAAGGATTAGACTGGAGGTAAGCTCTGTGCTACACACTTAGGCCTAGACTGGAGGTAAGCTGTACTGAAGAAGGAGAGGTTCAGAAGTTAAAGCTGTGAGTGATCTCTTGTATCAAAAGTTACTCGTGTGTGTTGGCAAAGGTATCATAGTGCTGCATCTCTGAGAAGTTTGATGTTGTCCAAATGAATGTTTCCCCACAGAAGTCTGTGCAATTAAAGTAGTATGGGTATGTTCACCCTGTCTCATATACTTCAGGTGGAGTGGAATTTCATGCAGTCTAAATCTGGGCATAATCTGTATCTGCATAACCTAGTGTATACTATAAGGCACTAAGCTGTAAAAAGTAGTATAATATGCCCCTTCTGTCCCTTATACAGCAGGCAGAGAGGAACATGATGCAGTCAGGGCTGTACATCCTGATGTTGCTGCAGCTTTGCGAGCGCCGATTGAGTCAGCTGGTGGACATGATGGAGAACCCGCCACCTCCTGGAGGAGCTCAGGTACACATTTGTCCAGACTATGTATCACTCACTCACTATCCTGGTTTAGATTATTCTGCTGCCGGTTTCCCTGTCCCAGGGGTGGGCAGCAGACGGCTGTTCTGGACACCTCGCCTCCAGCTGGCTCTGTCCAGTGGGTCTGTGCTAGACAGACCACACTCCTTAATATCCCTCTGGAGACACTCCACCCAGGTTTTTCTCGGCCTGCCGCGGCCTCTGCTGCCTGGCAACTTGAAGTCCACGATGGTGTTGATGCAGCCACTGGCACGCTTAACGTGCCCGTACCATCGGAGGCGGCGTGACTGCACAACAGACTTGATGTCTTCCAGGCCAAGCTTAGCAAGCAAGGTTGCAGAAGGTGTCATGTCCTGAGGTTTAACACCACAGATCCATCTGACCATGGATCTGTCATATGATGTACAAAATATTATAAGCTGGCCATGGGTGTACCAAGTACTTATTAGTATCTAATATCTGCCCGGAAAAGAGCAGGAAATAGTCATGCCTTCAAGTACCAGCATGTGTTCAAAAACTCTTGGAGAGTGGTGATGAAGGTTAGACATTAAGGTAATGAGATGCACTAGAAAACAGTTACTCAGGCAACTGGATAGATTTTGACAACTGTCAGACATTTCAATTAGCATCCACTACTACTGATGAGAAGTAGTGAATGTAGTAAATCTTAGTTTTCTTGTATATTGTACATGATGTAGTGTGGAACTTGTTTTCACCTAGTACAGCAGTATCATCACTAGATAGTTTTAAACAACATTTACATTTAGATGTGCAAAGTTAGGTGTGACAGGTCGCTCAGTGTAATTGCCAGCTGCTGCCTGCTAACCTTTGTTTTTCTCCTGCAGGCTGCTGCGGCTGCAGCCGCTGCTGTAGGTGCTGCAGGTGCGATGGGGGTGGAGCATCCTCTGGCCGTGGAGCAGCGGCAGTACATGATGGACAGGCTCATGCAGCTCAGGCACGGTAGGTCGCACATGTAGCTTACAGACAATGTTTTTCTGACGCAACGCATCTTTTGATTGCACTATTGCCAATGCATCTGTCATTATGAAGCCCTCCAAACCACAGTTAAGAAACGGAAACTAAAGTGGTATGGGCACATGTCAAAGTCATTCGAACTAGGCCAACCTGTCATAATTCTAGGAACAGTACAGGGAAGAAGAAAGACTGGTAGGCAATGGAAATGATGTCAGGATAACATTAGACAATGGATCAACTTGACACCAAGTAAAATGTTAAGAACAGAATACCGAGAAGAGAAAATTGGAGAAAATTGTCAGATTGTCAGATCATCTGTAGAGCCATAACGATCCAATAATACAGACTAAGGGATAAGTTGATAATGATTATTTGTTCCTCAGGCATCGCCCTGCTGACTGCCATGGAGGTGAACGACAGCAGTGATGAGGAGGACAATGAGAGCTACATGTCCCGCGGCGAGATCCGCAGAATGGGCGAGGCCCTGGCACGGGAACGCTCGCAGGCACGGGACAGGAGGGGGAGGGGCGGCGCCGGGGCAGGGAGGGGCGGGGCTGGGCTGTCATAGCAACCGTTGTCGTCATGGTTACCATAGAACATATGATTCCCAGGGTCTCACATCAGTGTTTATAGTGTGTGAATGGTCACACACTATAAAGGGGTATGGTTGGGTTGTCATAGCAAACATTGTTGTCATGGTTACCATAGAACATGTGACTGTGTCTCACATCAGTGTTCAAAGTTTGCATGCACAGGAACGGTCACAGGCACAGGACAGAATAGGGCAGGTGGGCTGGGAGGGGTGGGGCTTGGTTGTCATAGCAACACTTGTTGTTATGGTTACCATAGAATAGGTGAATCCCTGGGTCTCACATCTGTGTTCAGACTAAGCTGACTACAACATGCAAGAGGAAAGAGCTTGTTGTTAGATGGTGACCAAGGTTATTGTCATGATCATGGTAACTGTTTTACATCATGGCAATATTGTGTCTCAAACAGTATTTCAATGAAGATTTGGCTAAGAGGAGACTCCGTCCACATATCTTCTCTCTAGATAAAGAAATGCATATATTGAAAGGGTATATAATTTTGTTGTATCGTACAGAAGCTATGTATAGAAGTCATAAAAGTATTTTGCTGGTATCATTTCCAGTGTCCTTCACATCAGTCTGTGATAGGAGCTGAGCTTATAGAAGCATCATGGAGAATCCCTTTGTGTGTACTACATGTGAAACTTCCATAGCAAAAACGTTGATTTCTTGATTACGTGCTAACTAGCCTATGATTTGTCAGAATTTATTTTCCAAGATGTTTCCACAGTCCAAACTTGTACAGGTATACACAGAGGAAAACAGTTATGTACCTGTACTGCCAATGTGTAGTCTTCCATTTTTGTATCAAATTTAATTGAAATCTCTAGTGTGAGACCATCCTAGGAACCTTCGAATTCTATGTTTGATACGGTGTTGGCTACATTCCTTATTCAATTTTGTATTCCTTCAAGTTAAATGACTAAATCATGTTGAAGTAGGTACACAGGTTTTCACGTCAACATTTTAGTCAGAGAAATTTGTAGAGCATAGTAGTAAGCTGTGACACCATCCAAGCCTTCAAACAACATCATATATCTTTGAAATAAATATACTGCTATGTACCACAGCGTCTGTTTACTTCTTTCTAACAAGCACAATGAACAGAGGTCCACAGCTTAACATCCTGTCCTAAGGACTTTGACCCTTTCCAGTAGCGTGCATGTGGGGTGAGCGACAACAGCCGGGATTCAAACTCCCAACCGCTTGGTCCAGAGGAAGGGTCGCTAACCGCTGGACTACACACTACGTAAATCTTTATTTATCGCTGGTACCAATAATCCATTCCTTTTCTTCACCACGAAGATAAGCCAGTGTCCCTGTGGCACATAAATATCACAAAAGCCCCTCCAACCTTCAGTACTAGGTATTACCCCTCCCCTGAGTTGATAGATAGTTATGCCGGCTGTCAGTAAGCCTCCGGTCTATCACAGCACACACCAGGACAGCTGAGCCGGGGAAAATTATCTTCTCGTGTGGTGTTCAAGGTTGGAAGGACTTGCTTTAAGAATAAGAATTGATTATGCATGAAACCAAGATTTCTACTTCATGTTCTTGCTCGATAGCAGAACGCTCTTGAACTTCATCGTGTCTGAACTTGATTGGTGGCAATTTCAACCAACCGACGTCACACGCCACTTCAGCTGCAGCTTCAAGTCTGGTTGATGTGGCTGCCTTTAAGTAGAGAAAATGATCTCGTGCGATGCTCAAGGTTTCTAGGACTTGCTCTGAGAATAGCAATTGATTCTGAATGAAAGAGAAGATTTCTACTCCTGGCCACGAGCGAGTTCGTCACATCTTCCTGCTCGATAGCAGAACACCTTGAACTACATCGTGTCTGAACTTGATTGCTGGTAATTTCAACCAACCGACGTCACACGACACTTCAGCTTCAAGTCTGGTTGATGTGGCTGCTTTTAAGTAGAGAAAATGATCTCTTCTTGTGTTTAAGGTTTCTAGGACCTGCTCTGATAATAGGAACTGATTCTGCATGAAACCCAGACTTCTACTCCTGGCCATGTACGAGTTCGTCACATCTTCCTGCTCGATAGCAGAAAGCCCTTGAACTTCATCGTGTCTGAACTTGATTCCTGGCAATTTCAACCAACCGACGTCACACGACACTTCAGCTTCAAGTCTGGTTGATGTGGCTGCCTTTAAGTGGAGAAAATGATCTCCTGTGGTGTTCAAGGTTCTAGGACTTTCCCTAAGACTAGGAATTGAATCTGAATGAAACCAAGATCTCTACTCCTGGCCATAAGCGAGTTCGTCACATCTTCGTCTCAAAAGCAGCAGTAGTAGTAGTAAGCCTTTATTTAAACTCAATAAACTTGCAGAACGCCCTTGAACTTCATCGTGTCTGAACTTGATTGCTGGCAATTTCAACCAACCGACGTCACACAACACTTCAGCTTCAAGTCTGGTTGATGTGGCTGCCTTTAAGTGGAGAAAATGATCATCTCGTGCGATGTTCAAGATTTCTAGGACTTGCTGAGGATAGGAATTGATACTGCGAGTTCGTCAGATCTTCCTGCTCGATAGCAGAACACCCTTGAACTTCATCGTGTCTGAACTTGAACGTACGTCACACGCCACTTGCGACACAGCTCCAAGTCTGCTTGATGTTGCTGCCTTTGAATTAAAAGGAAACTACTGGGCACTAAGAATTGTGCATTTTATAGTATGTAGAAGTTGCAAAACCTTAAAATATTTTTTTTCCTAGAGGGCAATAGAGCCACAATTTAATAGCCGGATACTTCAGCTATTCTTCCACGGTGGCCCTATATTCTTTCACTCTCTCTCTAGACTTGGCTTCGCTGACAAAAATGTCTAGGTCCTATACATTTTAATGATAAATAAATCACATATTAAGAAAAAGAGACATCTATAATACAAGATAATAATCATACATGATTCATAACATACATAGCCAGAATACAGAAACGGTTCTTGTCAGCATGAATGTTTTTGGTTTCGGCAGTTTGATAGCGTGTAATGATTGAAGATCTCACTTGAAGCATGCCCTCAAGCACATCAGTGTGAGTCGACGTTATTAAGGCTGTACTATCAAAGGATAAATGCTGGGTTGGCGAGACGAAAGCATGAAATACAAGGTGAAGGTATTCTGACGGAACATTGTGTCTGACAAGCAATTTTTCCTGGGCGCCAGTGTGGAGTTCCTAAATTCAGTCTTGCCTAATGATGTCAGATTAAGATGAATCTGTCGTTTCAAAGACAATATAATTGATATTATAGCATCACTTCTGTTAACTTCCATAGTCATGGATCATAGACATACATTTAATTTATTGTTTGAATTGTTTTGAAGGAGAAGTGAAGCTTAAAGCTTGAACCTTGAACGTGGACATCTTAGGGGGATGTCATCACGGAAAACAGTGGGTCCTTCTCCTCCACTCATCTCTGTCCTCCATCAGTGAAGCTAGTGCAGTGATATAGCTGCCTGTGCTAGATAGAGGTAAACTGCCGATTTGAATAAATTGATGAACGAATGAACGATTGGTTCATGATGATGATCTGTATGTCCCAGTCTTTTGCAATGCGCCATTCCAACCATATAGAGACCAATGGGTGACTAGAATCACTGAACGATCAGTGAAAGAACTACTTTTCGTCAGGGATTGAGGTAGTGGAAGCTACTTGAAACGTCTGACAGTTTTCAAAATCTGCCCAGTCGCCCGAGAAACGCTTTCCTTGTGTACGAGTATCTCATTGATCCATTACCTGGATGTCTAACCTTGATAGATGAAAACTCGTTTATCGCACGTTCTTGCTCGATAGCAGAACACCCTTGAACTTTATCGTGTATGAACTTGATTGTTGGCAATTTCAACCAACGTACGTCACACGCCACTTCACTTGTGCCCCATCTGAGCTTCAACTCCGACAGCTAGATGCGGCTGCCTTTAAATTAAGAGGGAATTCTACTCAATCATGCGGAATAAATTCCGCCGAACCTACTGTCTAGAGCAGCATTGTACGTGGTCATTATCTTGTGTTTGCGTCACTTGCGTAGCTACCAGGCCTCAATAATTTCATTGTACTGCATCTTATATTATATTACTATTGTACTGATTTGATTTTATCGTACTATGATCGTACCTTTCCTGTTGTTAAGTTGATTTCTATTCTTATTTGATTGATTGTTTCTTTTCTTGTATCGATATCTATTTAATGCTCGATGTACAAGTGTTTTATGATTTTGTATGTATGGTGGCCTTGGGAGGGTGACATTGAAAAGAAACGCCTGTTCCATCATGTAGTCCACTGTGTTGAAAAAGCACAATAAATAAATGAATAAATAAACTTGTCCTTGGCGTTAAGAGCCCCCAAGTCAAATACTATCATTCAGACCGCGAGTCATTCCCAGTTTATTGGAAAGTCTCCAAAACCCAATCTCCAGTCCGTGAGGTCTCCATCCTGGCGAGAATTACCGCCCGACCTGAGGTCACAGGTCTGATCTCTGCTGAGTGGCGGGAATGAGAAGTTATAGATTTTTCTCGCTCCACTTTTGACCTGTGAGCCAGGACTATCGACTCCGTGGCGCGTCCAGGTCTTTGGATGTCTGAGACTCGCTGCTGGGGATATGTACATAATTCTAGTCTTCTAACGTCATTGTACAGGCACGATGATGGCTTTGTGCAAGTCTCTAAAGGCTGCTCTCTAATCTAATGAGAAATAAATTGTTCTCCAAATCAAGAAAATTGACTCACCGGAATTTTAGACCAAATTCCTCGGTGTTCATCAGCTTTCTGACCCAATACAAGTGCTGTAGACACGTACGTGATGTTTCTGCACGTGTGACGTCAGCACTGGGTCAAAGTTCGTCTGAAGTCGGTACCGCCCTCCGTGGCCTCTTTCAATTTCAGTCCTCTCAAAGTTTTGTTTTCTCCTCTGTAAGTTTTGTAGTGGTTATAACATTTCGAGTAATAGCCAAAATTTAAGAAGTTAGAGAAGATGAGAATAATGGGCTTTAATTGGACCATTTTCGCGGAAAGAAGATTCAGTTCGTGGTAAAGTTACTTAGTAATACTTTAATTACTTCTGATTGAGCTGTGATATGACGTCATTGCGTGACGCCATATCCTTAATGACTATCATTTCTTGATGTGCTGACGTCACGCGGGTATTCCAATCCTTAACGCGAACTCTCACCGCCAAGGCCCGGGTTCGATTCCCGGTGTGGGAACTGTGGGAACCACTGTGTAAGAAACAGGAGACACCAGGAAAAACCCCACTGGTCCCGGGCCGGGGTTCGAACCCACGACCTCCCGGGCACCAGAGCTTCATAACTAGACACTCTAACCTCTCCGCTAAAAGGTCTAGACCCATCGGCCGGGTCAGTTGGTAGCGCCTATAAACCCCCCACTGTTACAGATATACTATTTAAAATGTCAAGTTCAATAATTGCTGTGTTTCTCTCTCAGTACTGGTACGTGCATGACAGTTGCAGCTGACAGCGGTTTTCTGGATCCCCGCACGGTCATGACAGATAACTGACGCACTCCAGCGCTGCAGGTAATTGAGTAGCGACAGAACCAAAGACTTGGCGGGATTCCCTCCGTAAGCCCACATGGGTCCCACCGCGGGGAGTCTCCTACCTGTGGCCCGTTCCAAAACTGTACGGAGTTTGCGTTTAAGCCCTTGTTACACACTCAGAACCCTTAAGGTAATATGAAAGTGCGTCTGAGGACGTTGGGGTCACCTTAAAAAATACCAGCTATAAAATTGCAACATGATGTAACCCAACACTAGTTACCATGGTAACAGATACAACATTGGTTCAGGTCACTGAGGTCACTGTTTGGAGAAGAAGAAACGTAGCAAAAACAATATGTTTTCCTTCGGTAAACATAAATACGTGTACAACAAAAGCAAGGAGAAGTTGGATTTATTTCATGTTTTGTTGAACATGTGGCTTAGCTATCGCAGTGTGGCAAAAATGTAGCAATATGTTCCGCAATAAAGGTCTTCACTGCTTTTCAAACTTGCAACTCAGCAGCACGGTGAATTGACCATGCGGTTTGCGCGGGAGAAGTTTACTCAGCAAGTTTGTTCTGGGAGCCTCTGATTTCATAGCAGTCAATTTTCCCGAGAGCAATGACAGCGCGCGCGTTTACATGATAAATTGCCTGGGGCTATGCATGGGGTTTCACACTATACACACATGTCATCGGAGTAGTCAAAATCTCCTCTTCACGCTTGGGATTTTATCGATTTTCTGTTCAAATTGTTAGAAATACGACGACCGTACGGCCTCTTAAAACTAGATATGCATGCAGAGCTTGGACATAAGACTTCCATAATGATTGTGTGTAATATATCCTGCCACTGGATTACTGTGAAGCAGTTTTTTATCACACAAAGGGAGTCAGACTGTTTGATTTATATGACAGGAGAAATAAGATATATGTATGGTCCAGTATCTGGTTCAAATCGGCGGTTGACGGATTTGTTTCGAGGCCGATTAGGCCGCTTTGGACAGGAAATAGATCCCCCTCAAACACTGGTGAGGACTCGGTAATTGACATTTTGCCGTTCTGAGCGGCAGTTCTGGTGTCAGTCAATATGTCTAGATCAGATTTGCACCCAGAACAATATGCGGTGTGAGGCTCCAAAGGGGTCAAGGTAATCTCCAAGCAGATCTTTTGACTGCAAGACAGTATCATTGCCATTGCTGTATCAAATACCCTACCCTAAAAAATTTAAAATAAACCTTTCGTTAGTTATGGATGTGAAAAGTTAAGTTTTAAATATCAATATTCATATCATGTTAGAATGCACGGAGGTTTTGTTTTTAGGTGTGTCTGGTTGTGTATCTGTAGTTACTTTCACACGCAAGGCACGTCGGGAACACTAGACAGGAAGTTAGGTCAAAGGTCCTGTAAAGGTCTTAGAAAGGTTATCTTATTTCCTGCCTTCAATGTCCTGCTATATGCATGTCTGATGCCTTGTGGAAGCCAGTGGGGAAATTGATGATATCATAATACACAATTAGTGAGAAATTCACAACAATGAATAAGACATAAAATTTGCAATCCTTGACGGAGGTATCAAATCTTTATTTTCTTGTTTCACTGACTTCCTGTAACCCTGCACGTGCGTACCCTGCCATATCATAGGGTAAAAATAAACATAAGCTGATTTTGAATGGCAGGTTTGTGAGCGTATTGTTCGTTGTTTGCCCGAAACAATAAATAATGTTCCTTGTCATAGAAGTAACGTTAATGGTTTAATATCGTTTGTTGTGTCCTTAGACCTTGACACCTACGCTTGCCGCGCTACACAGATATTTTGATATTGTCCGGTGTGTTTATAAACCCTACACGAGCCTCAGCACCAGCCAGTGTGTACGGCTTCGCGATGGCAGACGATGTGGAGACCGGACCCCCCAAGGCTGCTCTTCGGGCCAAGCGGGCGTCCATCCCGGGGGCCACGCTGGACCTGCCCGGTGACCTGCCCGGCAGGAGCATCCGGAGGGTCGTCAAGGAGTCCATGCTGTTCTTCTGGCCCATGGCGAGCATCGCCGAGGAGGATCGCGAGTTTCCCCCGGGGGACCTGCCGCCTCGCGCCGAGGACATGGGCCTGGGCGCCCGACGCGCCTCCACGGGGGACACCTACCTGTTACGGTAAGCTCGATCACGATGTTGTATCCAGAACCGTGCTTTATAGGCCAGAACCATAGTCTGGATAGTCCTGCGGATCCAAAACCGTGCTTGGGGGCGAATGTACGCTCTTGGCTACGCAGAGACTATCCAGAACCAAACCCTATTAAACCCTTTCAGACACCTACCTGTTATGGTAAGCTCTTACTATGTTGTATCCAGAACCGTGATTTATCCAGAACCGTTCTGGATAGTCCACGCGTATCCAAAACCGTACTTGGAGCAAATGTACACTCTTGGCTACGCAGAGACTATCCAGAACCAAACCCTGACCCATTCAGGCATAGAACATAGTAGAAAGGCGCGGTTCCGTGTACAATAAACACTCAGTGGATATATTTCGTAGAAACGTTCGATTCAAGATTCTGTCGTCTGAATTTTCAAAATCAGAAGATAACTAAATTAACAACTAATGAAATGTAGTGTAGCGTGTGTGATCTGTTTGGTTCTTATTGTGAGTATAGTAGTGCCAAAGGGCACTTGTCACATTTATTGTAAACTACTAGTATAAAGTCGTGTACGTGGTGTTTAGCGGTTGTAGATGTCGGTGGGCGTGTAGTGTTTGGTTCCCTGTCGTCCTTAGTAATACGCGCAGCTGAAGGTAAACACTCTACAAGCAGAAGTTTGCCCCTTGGCTTATTTTTTTACGTGTTTTGGGGCTTTTTTTATCGGGCTTTTTGGACTGGTATATCTTTTTACGCCAACCCAACCGTAAAGAAAAGTCCGGTAAAAGCAAAAAAAAAACACACACACACACACCAAAAATAAGCCAGAACCCAAACCTCTGCTTGGAGAGTAGGTAAACGCCCTGTTACATTGGGACAGCATGCCGTGGCGTGGTGCCTGCACGTGTACGTGATATAAACACCTCAGGCTCACCTGTTTGTACAATTTATCCCCATTAGAGCCGCAGTATCATATAGTCTATTATGGAGTAATCTTCAAGCAGATGTAAGGATCCGACTCGTTCTTGCTTCATGCTTAATTCCTGTTTTTGCAACATTCGGCGCTTTTTAACGACTCACACCTGCTTCCCTAAACAGTTTTATACGTTTTGTACTAGAAAAGGGTGCAAATGTTTCAAAAACAGACGTACGTACTTGTAAATACGTACCAAGAAATGCCGGATCCTTCTGCTGGGTGATTCACAGTTCATGCCCGGTTCTGTTTACCACACCACACCACACAATACAACACAGGCTCACTTCGCCGTGTGGTAAAACTACTGAATAGCTACGTGTGATCATGGGAAATATAAGCACACTGCTGCTTTTTTCAATCATTTCACACGTGCGTAAAGCTTTATACAGTCGTATAGATTATTGTAATACGGTACTATGTACATGTATATAATACTTCTAACGTACCTCGGCGAATACTTTAATTACAGCAGAATTATAAATCAAATCATAAAAATAATAAAAATCATATTAAGGTTACGTCCTTCGTACTCAAGCAATAAATACTTACCTGCCAATATTTTGGTCCTTCTATTCTGCAGCTTTCTTTAGAACACTTCTGACTTCGTACCGACCGAGTGATCATGAGTATAACTTGCGTCATAGCTTTATATAGTGCAGCCAACCCAACTTATTACGTTATATAAAGCTAACTGAACAGCTCTTGTGTATAAAAGCCTCTACTTCCAATAGGGCGGTCTATTGGGGTATTTGCAATTTCAAACCCACGGACACCAATATTAACAACCCCTCTAGAATATATTGATTGTGCGCATTTTTATTTAATGCGGGATGTATACAAGGCGATTTAATGCCATACGGACCTTGTTTGTTTTGTGTGCACGCTATTTCTGAGTCTATAGCGTTATGTATGAGTCTAGAACATATTTGTTTAACCCTTTCTTGTTACGTCGACTTAGAGACGCTCTAGTGGCGCACTGTTCTCTGTTTGTTTCGTGTACACTATTTTTGACGGCAGCGTCTATATATATGTATGTCAAAGATTTATACCCCCTTAACGTTTACGTTTTGCTTCATACTTTACCGGGATATTTTGAAGTGTGTCACAGCATAGAATGATACCCTAGCTGTGTATGCTACCTGAGCTACTTTTAGTACTGTCATTTTTAGTACCGAAACCTTTTGTAGAGCAGTTGGCTCCTGTTGTCGGCAGGTGGAGGTGATTTTTCTTCCATTATCTTCCTCCTGCACATCTGGTCCCCTGTAACTTGGACCTCTGTCAGACACGGCTGCACATCGTGCGTGCTTATATTGAGTTATAACATCACAGCTACGGTGGTTGAAAGTATCTTCGGGCTCATTCAGTTAGGCACACCTAGTCGATTGTACAGGCTGCGTCCGTTCGGATTTTGGCTTCCATCCAATTTTTTTCCCGCACTTCTATTTCTAATGTTTGTGGATGCATTTTTCTTTACGCGCTCTTGCCTTAGATTTGAAGGGTTGAGTGGACGACAAACGTAGAATTCCCTTGGTATGGCCTTACTACGCTTTGCGCCTTACATGAAGACTGAGCTGCACAGCATGTTCGTAAGAATGTGGCCTCAAAAACAGCCAAAATTGCTAGAGAGATCGGATGTGAAGTGTAGTTACTTCCATTATGGTATAATATATGGGCTCGAATGCAATCATATGCTTGAAGACAACCCTGTTATACACGATAAGCAACGCAGGTTCTTACTGAAGCTGGTATAAAAAATGCTCTTCAATATAATACATCATCATGTTCATCATCTGTCCCTTGCTTTATCCAGGCACGGTTCAGGATATTCCACGCGTATCCAGAACCGTGCTTGTGGAAAATATACGGTTTTGAATATGAGAAGACTATCTGAGAGCCGTGCCTGATCCTAACCCTAACCCATTAAGGCACCAGAGATTCAACGTTGCCCATTTTCTTATGTCACCCTCCTAAGGTCTAATTTATCTTCATTATAGTGCCTATTCATTTCATGATTATCCGGGTTCTATTAGCACCTCATTCATAGCCTTAAAACCGATGTTTGCCACAATGTAGCACCATGCGCAACCGTGTGTGCAGTTTGTACTTCTGCTTCAGGTTGTGTTTACACGACAGAGACGCTGTCACAAAGGGCTGGACGTTCTAAGTTACGTACACAGTTCAGGGAAACGGTCTTGGATACACAGGCCATTTTGTACACTGAACCATGTCTGCCTAGTTCTATGCCTGAATGTGTTAGGGCTAGGATCAGGCACGGTTCTGGATATTCTCTACGTGCTCACTGAAACGTTGATTTGGTTCAATATGAGGTTATGTTGCTTTACAACTATAGCGTAACTACACGCCATTTTCCGTGGTCAGTTACATCTGCACAGACTGAATAACATGTATGATATTCGGTAATACCATTAACACCGTAACGTTAACACGATAGATCAGAGTACCTGTAAAGTCTGTAATATCAGCACAAAAATACCCCCCTCGAGATACAAACGTTGTCAAAATGATGAGACGGGAAGATCAGAGGAAAGCATTTCACCGCAAAAGTCTATTCCTCAGGATTTGTCTCCTCTAGTCTTTTGAAGTTCCTAAGATTAGGGCTAAGATTATCAGAACGCCAGTGGTGCCGTTGTTTCATAAATCTGTGCCTTTGCGGTGAGTTCACTAGCCTGCATGAAAGGTTTTGTCACGTCTGATGGGCACTGCCCTGACTTCTGTCTCTCTAATAAAAGTCTTTGGTTTCTCGCGGTCGTCTTGTATTACATGCCCTGTGTTGCATGTTTTGATATTTAGTTACTTAGTATGGTAGACACATCATATTAGAGACTATATGAAAGCAAATGAAGGCTTAAATGGCAGGTACCTCACGGAGATGAGTAAGGGACCAGTCTCTTGCCTGAGCACTTAGGCAGGCCTGTAGGTAACCAAGGGCTTTATACGGCGCGACGAGGTAATTGGTACAGCGTATGGCTGGTAGCCAGTAGCTGTAAGTAAGTGGTATGTGTCTGTCCCTCTCAGTTCTCTTTTGCATCTGTCTTTTATGTTTCTCTTTCGAAATTCCATCTCTTAATCTCCACGTTTGACCTGCCCGCCTCATCTCTGTATGTATTTATTTTTTTATTACACGTACATGTACATGTATATTATCAAGAAAGTTGATTTGTGTTGGTAGTAACACTGGGTCAAAGGTATCTGGTAGACGATCAGGGTCCATCACCCTTCACTCAACCGCGACGGGGGCCGACATCGTCTACCAGATACCTTTGACCTAGTGTTGACGTCACACTTCAAAGAAGCCACATGACAAGCCTCACTGGGTCAGTCTACTGAGGAAGACCGGAGTCACTGGTCGAAAGCTCTAGGTGAGAGAACTTTTTTTTTTGTGTTGGATCAAAAGTTTTAATTTCAAACACGTACATGTATATGTTGTGTCTATCCTCCTCTCTCCTGGCTCATTCTTTACCCCTCTCTTTCTGAATATCTATCGGTCTCTGTTTCTCTCAGTCTCTTTGTATCACTCTGTTTCTCCCTCCTCTATACATTCCCTTCTTCTATATATATTCGTATATTTCAACCACTCATACAGTTTTTCTGTGTTTCTCTCTGTCTGTTTGATTTTTCTCTCTCAGATTCTTCCCCTCTATCCCCCCTCCCTCTTTCTCCCTTCCTCCCTCTCTCTTCACCTAAATCAATATCACACAAGCACAGATTCACACAGGCACAAATTCAAAGTGCCCACAAGTCCCAGTCCGTGTCAAGTATTGACTCAAGTCCTGACTTGTGTAAAATCCAGTGACGCCCCTGGAGATTAGAATCGACCAGTGACTCAGAAATTATACTGCCTGTCGTTACTCACTCCAAGAACTAGAACTCTGGATCCCTTTTGTCGCGTATTCGGTGATCCACCCAAGGACTTACCGTTCCCCTTTCTCCAAGTGACTTAAGACGTCTGAACTGGGTTCACGCTCCTTTGAGACGCCGGAAAACTCCTTGATTGAATGTGTCAGAAGTTTGTGAAACTTTCTAAGG